CAAAGTGGAAAAAGTGGCAAAAAAATAATTTTAAAAAATCCATATATTGATCCCGTGTGATATTTTAGCTTCTTTTGAAAGCCCAGAGTGCTCCGTGTACACATGCACGCTTTCATATTCAGAAGAGAAGTAAAGAAGAAAAGGTTGTGCAAGCAAGAAACAAAGCAGGAGTCTGAGACATGACGGATCATTACAGTCATCACAAAGTTTCTCCAACTCTCAGCTGCCTAATTAGTCTCCGTTAACTAACATAGAGAGGATTACAATAACCATAAGGGATCAGTAAATGTTCTGGCTGCCTTTAACAAAAATGAACAGACCATAGGAAGATGCATAATGCGATGTCTGACACTCAGGAGAGCATATTACAACAGGGTCGATTTTCCTGGTCAGAGCTGATACAAGGCTATAGATTTTCTTAAAGCCGCGGATACGGATATCAATTTCATTTTGTCCTTACTTGAGGCAAAGCTTGACATCTTGGTAAAACGCATGTTTAATTTCTGGCAGACTTGGGTGAAAAGATCACCACCCTCATTAAATATTAAGCTCCAGCCAGCAGCCAGGTAGCTTAGCATAATGACTGGAAACAAGGAAAACACGAGTATGTCGAACGCAGCCACTCCCTTAATTATGCATAACGTTAAGCCTTAAAACTATTTAAATGGGTGAGTTGTATAAAAAAAATCCCCTCCTGTACAGTTTGCATGATAAGAGAAATTAGCTATGGGGATCAAAACTGTTCCGTGCGAAGCTGTGAACCTGTTTATGGCGGCTGTGAAGTTCTAACACGGAGGTCAATGACGATCAATTTAGTTTTGGAGCTGAACTGCGGTCTTTGGCACTTCTGCAGAGGCTCGGTTTTAAGAAAGCAAAATCCACTTACCAGCACATCCAAAATTCACTAATTAACATCTTCTATCTCTGGAGTTAGATCTCCACATAGAGGTTGTGTGTCGGACTGTGTCTTGGCTTCAATAAGTTGCCAGACAACCAAGAAATGAACCCTGGTAGGTGGAACTTCTCTGCTTCGACAGAGCGAGACTAGCTGGTTGGCCTATTTCCAGTCTTTGTGCTAAGCTAATCAGAGCTAACTATTTGCTGGTTGATCTTCTCCTGTGGCTCTCAGACAGAACGTGAAGATGGGTGTTGACCAAAATGTCAAACCACTAAATTTGCCAAAATACACAACAAGCAAAAATCAACTGAAAAAAAGGGAGGGTGCACAACTTGGGGAAAACGCACAGAAAAGAGTCCAAACTAACATTCACAATAATCCTATGCAGTCCCAGCATTATCACGGGCTTCATGTCTACAGCTCACACCATTCACTAAGTCCTCTATGAACACACCATGCAGCCTAAATGCACCGACTTACCCATCATATGGATATCTGATGATTGTATGAGGAAACAGAAAACATGGCAGGGAGGAGAAGGGGAGGAAAAAAAGACAAATGAAGAGAACCAAAGAAATGGAGCAAATGGTATTGACATGCATTCCCATGAGAGAGAGAGAGCACTCACAGCAGCATGTCCTGCTGGTTCTTCTGGAAGACGGTGCCGATGTGCTGGAAGATCTCTGGGTTAAAGAGGTATATACCACAGTTGATGATGTCACTCACAAATGTGCTCGGCTTTTCCACATAATGCTTGACCTGGATTAAATAGGGGGGATTATTTAGGGTTTCAGGTTTGAACAATAACGAGTGACCATCCAGGGAACGAGACGGAGACGCTTGATTACCTCGTTCGTTTCCTCGTTTTCCACAATGCAGCCGTAATTCAAAGACTGCTTCCTGTTTGCCTGATAAAACAAGTACGTCAGCATCATTTAGAATAAATATCAGATATAGCAGAGATCAAATATTATTTAATATTATAAAACAGCAAAACAAAACCATGAAGCTAAAGTTTTAAGAGTTTTACTTTCGCTGCATTTCACTAGTTCCAGAAAGTACCAGCTGTCAATAATGAAATCTTACCGTTGTCCCAAGGATAACAAAGCTGTTTGGTTCTCCATGTTCTTTCTGGAAGCTGAGCATCTCTGAGAGAGGAAACGCTGAACAAACATCAGCATTCAGTACAAAGAAAGCCTCTGGACTCCCGGAGACAATCTGATCTCTGAAGTGATAGATGCCCCCTCCAGTGCCCAGGGCTGCGTACTCCTGCAGATACCTGTGGTGCAGAGTCAAGAAGAACGGCAGACCTGCAGTCATTCAGCAACAGTGCACAATGGCAAGAAAAGTACTTTTACTGGCCCATAAAAAATGAACTTAAAAAGAACATTGCGACGCCACAGCAACACATTCTTGAACCTCCCACAAGGTCCCAGATATCACTTACATGAATACGTGTCACAGCTGTCAATATCCAACGTGAAGTAAACGTTTGTTTGTTCTTGTTTAGAGAGAAATCTAAGAGCTCTGGTGTTTACCTGATGGAGATTTTGAACTCCTGCTGAGCATTAAACAGGAATCTGGTCAGCTCTTCATTTGGCTGGTAAAACCCGATGAGCAAAATCTCCTTCATGTTCGGTACCTGCACAGAAAAGTTCATTATTAAACGGATTCTAACGAACACTACTGTCTGTGTCACACAACAACCGCACAGGAGTGATCAACACTGAGCAGCAACTGAGAGGAGAAACTCGTTACTGGTTTAACACCCAACCAGTACTGATTAAACTTACAGACACACATCAAAGCCACAAAACAGTTGCAGACAAACAGTGAGCCCTTATTTAACTGGGCTGCAAAGCAACATAATGAAGATGGTTGAAACTAGAATACTTCAAATTTGTTTATCTACAGGAGGACATTTAGACTGTCAAGGACCAACGCATCCCAGCTAAAGTAAAATCTACTAGTTTTCTACAACAACTACAGCATAAATGACTACGGTAGTGAAGTGACACTCACTTTGGCACATGCTTCGATGTGGTGCTGAAGCATGGGAACGCCAGCTACTGGAAACAAGGGTTTGGGGACTTCAAATGACAGCGGCCTGAATCTTGTGCCTGAAATGCAACGGAGCGGATTACTTGATAAACAGATTATGATGTAGATCACTTTTCCTCGTGTGTCTAGTGTGTGTCAAAACCAAGCAAAGCCCTTAGCTATGTTGTTGTGATGTCCTCTCCCCTTTAATATAAAAGGTTTTCTTTTCCATTTCAATTAATCCTTAAAAAAACAAACAACAACAAAAAACTGGCATCTGTACGGACAAGCAGGCACTCCACAAACTACTGGACCCTGGTTGTAGATTAGACACAGAAGTGATCCGATTTGATTTCTGTCAGGTCCCTGCATGGTTTCCACAAGTCTTCTCGAAGTCCAAACTGATTGTAAATTTCTTCTATTTGTTTAAAAAGCCATGTACGCCTCAGAACCTGGGACTTTTCCTCCTAGATCCTCAGACAAAGTGCTGTTAACAAAGCTGTGATCGAAGCTAAAGGAGACGGCAGCAGCTTCATAACAAATACACACACTTTCTTTCTCTGTTTACAGTTTTAAAAAAAATTTAAAAATCTTTACCCCTTGCTTTTTTTAATGGCTTGTTAAAAAAAAAAAAAAAAAAACTTAACACATGCATGTTTTAATGGCTTGTTTCTTCTTTTATTCTTCTAGTAGTGTTTATTATTCAGTATTTAAATTTGAGTTTATTTCAGAAATTTAAATTACAAGTTACTAATCTATTTTGCCTTGTAATAAATATGTTTGTTTTTTTAACAGATTCATTTTACTAGGTTTATCCTGTTTTGCTTTTTCCATATCCTTGTTCCTCCCTGTTTGATAACTTGCACAGTACTTTGGTAAATCCAGGTTGTTTTAAACGTAAATAAACTTGATGTAACGCTGCCTAATTGTAAAGTGCACCAGTATAATTATTTGTTGATCAGTCCAGTGCTGATCTTTAAAGGGTCCTGATGAATGATCCTGAAATACTTTGGAAATATGAGCACGTTGCGTTTAATGACGGAGGAAACAATGACATCACTTAAATTAGCAGCCAATAATAAGGCTAGACGTGGTGCTCGGTGTTATTTAAAATATTCAGAGTATATGCAGAGTTGGTATTTAGAAGGTACCAGGCTGTGCTGTTGTTATAAAATATTATGAGGATATAAACACATGAGTTTGTGTTTGTGTCATCAGCCCCGGTATTAACGTTATGCCACGTCAGTGATATAAACAAGTCCTGTTAGCATTAGCAGCCTAGCTCTACTCTAATCACACACAGTTGACTTCGGGGTGAAAAACAGAAGAAGAGATTCATCCTCACCTTTCTGGGGGCCTCCAATTAAAATGACCGCTTTCAACATTTTGACTGAGGAGCTGTTTTGTGACAGATAAGACCTGCCTGAGAACTACCTGCAAGTGCTCACTGGGTATTTCCGCATCCACTTCCGGTTTGTGACGTTGCCGAGATTACCGTGAAATCCCGGGGCGGATCGTTGTCCTGGAAACGGAGCAGAGAGGAGGAAGACCCGGCTCTGACTAGAGGAGCCGTGTAAATATTGTTCTGTATTAAAGTGATGCTTTCATATCATACTTGTATTTAATGGTGGATGAAACTGGCATTAAAAGGCACTAAAAATGAAAATAAACTGTTTTCAAAGAAGATGGAGCAAGAGCTGCATGGGATTGGACTTTGGGAGGCAAAGTAAAATAATTCAGGTGACTGAGGGAAACTAACAGCAAATGAAATGTGAATTGAAACTGAATGAAACAATTAAAAACAGTAGTCTCTCTGTGGCCTTATGTTCTGATTTTGATTTATAAAATGCTAACTCTCTCACAATCTTCCAAACTGTCTGCAGCTGTTTATCCATAAAATAAAATCAACCTTTTCAGACACTGCAGTTCAGTAAGGATATTCATGACTACTGAGATGTTGTTCTCCCTGCACCTGGTTATTCTGGATGTTTCTTCTTCCTGTTAAACGGGATTTCTTTTCTTATCGTTGTCAACAAGCACTCGGCCAAAGGGAACAGCTGGATTTGTTGAGTTTCTTTTTATTTTATTGCATTGAAAAACCATGGACAATTCCCTAAAATGACATTTGCTGGGAACTGGAACAATATCAGCAAAATGGAATGAAAGTTTTTTTTTACTATTTAAATGTGGAGACAAAGGAAAAGGCATTTGAAAGTCTCTACAATATATAAATGCTTACAGGTGCAGCAGATTTATGGTGAAAACAATTCAGATATTTCAGGCTTTTTGGGAGGAAAAGATCATCATGAAGGGCTCACTGATGGACAATATCACTACCATTACTGCAATCTCAAGGAAACCCACACAACAGGCCTGTGAATGATGTCAAGCCCACCCATCAAAACAAACAAAATACTTCAGTAAATCATAAACCTGCTTCTGTATGAATTGGAGCGTGGATCTAGACGTCTCACACGTATTGTAATGTTGATCGGGAAAAACCTGATCGTACCTGTTTTGGGACAAAAAATAAATTAAAAATACACCAAATCTGTCCCGGTCACCAAACACTGGTCTGTAATCCCACAGCTGGATGTAATCCTTCATTACAGCGATTGGTCGACTTAAAGTTCAGCTCACCCTCCTTCTTTTACGGAGTGTCTTTCGCATCTGCATAAAGTAGGTTATGCTCGCGTTGGAGTGGAGAGAAGTTACAGCAGTGGGGAAAAATAACTCGGCTGTCAGTTCTGCGCGCTTATAAAGACAACAAATAACACATACACAGCTCTAATGGAGGAGTTTACTTTCATATTTCCTCATTAAAACATAACCTGAAGTAAAACAGTCTCCCATGTGGTGGTATTCATAACTCAAACATATGCAAATAAGGTGCGAACTGGCATCAAACAAACAGAATAACATTTTAGTTAACAATCACCAGGGGACAAGGTGCTCTGGCAAAGGCTCCTCTGCAGGAGCAACAGAGAAATCTGAAGCGCTTTCATACCTCCTCAGAACTTTAAACACTCGTTTCTTTTTCATTCTGTCCGTTCGCCGCCTGAAAAGAGGCTGCATTACACTTCCTTTATCAAAAAGACACAAGAAGAAATGTGCGTGAGGAGAGGACCGTGTTTTTCTTGACACAGTTCAGGTTCAATGATATTTTACCAAATCTGTTCACAAAGTTTAACCGGCTTCATTTTCAGCTACATTATTATTATTACATCAGTTAAGCTCTGATCGGCAAAAAGCCAAAAGGTCGACTGTTTTTTGGTGACAGCTATCAACATTAATGAACTAAATTAATCTGAGCAGCAGAAGACGTTGTTGTTGACACATTGAGATAACAGCTGGAACACAGCAGAGGTCCTGATTCGAACTATGAGCTTCATGACCTCCAAGTATTGATCCCCAGCCGCAGATCTGTTCGTAGAGTTATGAAAAAACAACCGGTGGTCACAGAGTGATGTGGCTTCTCACTCACAAACAGCTGCTACAGAACTAACATTAATTAACTAATACGATCTAATCATTTTAACAGTCTGTACATGCACGTAAATGAGATGCATGCGAATGTTTCCAGCATATTTTCAACACAGAAGAAAAAAACAACAACAGCCAATAGATTCACTAAAACAGAAGCTTGGTAACATGTGGGTATTTGTCCTGATCCAGAATGCAACTCAAACGTAATCACAGCATAATCAATCCATCAGTACATTAAAAAATACAACATTTTGGTTTCCAGAGTTTCTATATTGGTCGTAAAAACATTTCTTCCTTTAAAGTGAGAGTCACAGCCGACATCAGGTCGTACGCGCGTGTTTTACAGAAAGCAGGAATCCGATCACCGCCTCGTCATGTTTGTGTCGAGATCGTTTGATTCAGCGCCACCCTGTGAGCTCATCGTCTTCATTATAACGGACTCCATAAGCTAATATTCCCTTCAATGGCAATTCAGTCACGCTTCATCGATCACGACACGATTATCAGTCAAACGTTTTGCAGTTCACATTCATGTTCTTTAAAAATATAGATTTAAATGTGGAAAAATCAGCTCAGCAAAAAATGATTGTGTGAGTGGCACGAAAGAGGTCCAGAGAGCTAGAAAAAATATCCCCTTTGGCCACCTCGTTAGTTTTCTTTTCATGAATTATAAAATAAAAATTGTAGAGAAAACCAAACAGGGCGAGTAGAACAGTCACGCCCGCCTCATGGAGCTGATGCTAGTCACCTTCCTGAAGTAAACACCAAGTTCATTCAGCACTGATTCAGCATTTTAACGTGCAGATTTTGTTTCCAGACATTGTGCTTACTCTAACGCAGAGCATCCACAGCAAAGCTTTATCTTAAATTAACGGCACCTTTACTGTTGAAAATAGCAAATCAAATATTCACAATCAAATCCCAAAGTCTCAAGTCTTCAAGGAGGGCGACGGATACAGCATGCGTACCGCAGATTGTCATGAAAAGGCCTTTTGAGACCGCGTATTACTCGTCGTACCAGCTAGTAAACAACTCAGGACCTAAAGTGCTGAATTATTCCACGTAGTGTTTCACAAACCAGAACTCTGGTCGTACCTACTTGTAAAATAACCAAACCCTACTCATGCAAACCTACAGTGTTTAAAAAGGCAATAAATGAGCGCTGCTCTGTCCATTAACTACTAATTACCAGAATGTACAGCATGGAGAGGTAAGAGGACTAGTATTATGTCATAATGAAGCTGTGATTATGTTCCTAGTGGTCGATGATTCAGGTTAGTAGAGGTCAAAACTGACTTAATGCCCTTTTACGGAACAGACCGGCCTCAGAGATCAGCTGCTTTCGTACCGCTGTCCAGTAAAGCTGAGCTCCCTCCTGTGTTCCCTGCTGTCTGTCGGACTTCTCTGTTTCACTATCTCCTGTTGTAGAGGTCTTTGCGCTTCCGCAGCTCCTCCAGCACCCTCGCTCTGAACTGGGTCCAGTCTTCGTCCTGGAACTGCTGCACGCCCAGAGCCAGGTGCAGCTCGGCGGCGTGGCTGCGCAGGAACGGGTTGTACTGCTTCTCCTCTCCGATGGTGGAGGGACTCTGAGAACGAAATGATGGATGTCAGAGAGGAACCCCGCACAAAACTGAGGCGCATAGTCTGTCTCACATGCCATTCCCTCATTTGCACAGAGGCATTATGGGTAATAAGCGATTCCTGCCAACTTAAATCAGCACGGCTTTGCACTTGTGCATCTCTGTCCCAGTTCAACTGAAGCAAAATGTCTCCTCGCCGACGATAAATCATCTTTTTATCTTTCCATTTTGTGCACTTAGATGAGCAGCACACACAGTGATTGCGGGTCCAGGTGATAAAACTCTGGATCACAAAAGCTAAGACAAGGACTTCAAATGTTAATGGGAATTTATGCAACTCCCTTCCTCCCCACGAAGCAAATACTAATAAACAGGCAATGAATATCCATCCGAAGCAGAATGTTCAGAAAGCTAGCCAGCATCACAGCGAGTGTAGATAAACCACAGTAGGTAATTCAATAGGTAATTATAATAATAATGAACAGAATTCATTAACGTGCATCGGGGTAATTATCAGGATGAGAGGCCTTTACGCAGCAGACGCATGTCACAATAGGAAAAGCACAGGTGTGAACAAAAACACGCATAATATCTGAGTCCCATTGAGCTGCTCCAGTTTCAGGGGTCATGAACGCTGGCTTACCAGCGCCACGGCTTACTGGGACGCTCACAAAGAATGGAGCCACTGGTAATCTCATTAGCAACACCTGTGATTTTCCTGCGATGACAAGCCAGGATGTCTGTCTGAAGTCACATTTTCTCTCCTTTTCCCGTAACGTTCACATGACATGAGCCATCTGGAATCATGTGTGTGTTTTCACTCTGTTAAGGATTTTAAACTGTGTCTGATAGTAATAAAAAAAAGACAGTCGTTGAGTCTGACACCAGAAAAAAAAAATCATTTTTCTTCACTGTACAGTCTGAAATGGTCACCTGACTAATGGCACATTACATCCTGTCCACATTCAGGATTTCAGGACTTAAACACCTTCCTCACTATTATTAGAATTCAGGGTCTGCTATAACATATATATATATAATATATAATTTAGCTCTGCTATAAGGGAAAATGTCTTCAGTGGTTCTCTGTGTGTTTTGTTCTTTGCTGTAGAACCGATCTGCTGAAAACAGAAAAGATCAAAATGTGTTCGAGAAAATCTCAGAGACATGAGTCGAGCAGCACTTCATGTACCAAACATACACGCTAGCAAGAGAAAGCAATAGTCAATCACTCAATACGCGTTGGGAGTGGAAGTTCAGGGAGGCGCAGACTCTTGCCATGCTGCATTGATAACAGATAAAAACTAATCTAAATTCTAGATAGGCACTTGACTGAACGGTGAACCTTTGTGATGCTGCCGACTGTATCAGCGTTGAGCCTCGAGTGTGAGGCTGGAGGAGGAGGAAGCGAGAGGGAAGCGTGCGCTCAGGGCATTGACAGCACATACGCTGCACGCAGGTGATAAGCCTCCCTTCCCAGGTGTTGGACAACATGAATCCTTTCCGGGAAGGCGCACTTGAAAGGCATAACAATGGTGATATATCATTCTCACCGTGCACAGCTTTTGGCCTCGCTGCTGCAGCACCCACTGATATTTGTTTTCCCTGGCAGCGTTGCGTGGCTCAACCTCAGCAGCAAACAGCAGGTTGTCCTCTGCATACTCATGACCTGTGGGATATGCAACATCTTCTTACGCTGTGACTGTACAGTATACGGGTGAATTGCTGCTACAGTAAACTGAAGGTTAAAAAAAAAAAAAGAAAAAGAAAAATCAAGCACATGCACATTCAAACCACATCCACAACAAACGCCTGACACTAAATCTGTGACGGCTGAAAGGACTCTCCTACCAGGCCATAATAAAGTATCATCACTTAAGGATCCGACTGTGTCCAGAGACGATAGCATTGTCGTGGCGCTGCCTTCAAACATCCGCCCTGCAAACAGTAAGAACGTGTTAACAGATGAGTTCAAAAAAGGGCATCTGTAAGTTTTAGGTTATAATATATGTCTGCTACTGTACTGACTCCATCCTCTGGAATCCAAACAGCACAAAAGACTCTGGCATTGTGTATTGCGACCAAAACAACACTGCTAATTATGCACATTATGACAGATTTAAGATCTTAATCTGGATAATTTTGTTTGTGATTCTGCACCCCTGCAGATATGCAGATTTCCTGTGATTAAATTCCTCATAACCTCGAGCAAACTGAGTAGTAAAAACAATGACTATATCAGCGAGAATGTGATTAAAAAAGCGAAACAGAAATCATTTGTATTCTTGGATGAAATAGGAAAAGAGTCGTGTTCAGTAAAGACGTGCATCGGCTGTTCACGAGCCGTGTTTCACTTGTGATGGAGGGCTGGGTGGTCTGTGTGCGCCGAGAACATGACTGAAAGCATCAAAGGAAGGCATTGCAGCCGTGAGTTCAAAAACGTCTTCCTCTATAACTGACACATGCAGGCTGGAATAAAAACATCTGGTCAAGAGGTCGAGCATCATTATTCACAGGAATGCATGTGATGTAGGTAAAACACGGCCGTCTACCCAGATCACATCTTTTCCATCTAAATGAGGCGGTACAGACAGGTCATGAGCCCTCTGCTTTTGTGTTCTCATGAATACACTTTCACACTGACATGTTTTAGCTTTCCGCCAAATAATTATCTCTTTATGCGGAGGGCTCGACAGGAGCTACAACGATCTGTTTAGAAAGATTGAACCCACAGTACGCAGTGCTGCTCTGCTTCCTTTTAAGTGAATGTGAGAATTATCCATCCATCCATCATCTCTACACCACTTAATCCTCACTAGGGCTGGAGTCTATCCCAGCTGACTCAGGGTGAAGGCAGGTTCACCTGGACAGGTAACCAGTCTATCACAGGGCTACACTTAGAGACAGACAACCAAACACACTCACATTCACACCTACGGACAATTTACAATCACCAATTAACCTCAGCATGTTTCTGGACTGTGGGAGGAAGCCGGAGAACCCGGAGAGAACCCACGCTGCACGGGGAGAACATGGAGACTCCACGCAGAAAGATCCCGGGTGTCCTCACCGGGACGTGAACCGCCGACCTTCTAGCTGCGAGGTGCTAACCACCGAGCCACCTTGCAGCCACCGCAAGAATTATTCATACACAAAAAAAACAAATTAGAATAATTCACATTTACTGTGCAACGTACCACATCCTGAGAGAAACACCAGGTCACCAGAGAAGAGGCTAGAAGGGGCGCCGACCGTTTGGCCATCCAGGAGGTAGATCATGTGGCCCACCGTGTGCCCAGGAGTGAAGAGGGCTTTAAAGTGCATACGGCCGACTGTTACTGTGTCTTTGTGTGAAAGAGGGCTGGGAAGAAAAAGAAAACATACACAGCATTGATTTACAACCACTGTGTTGTTACACATGTCTGTATTTTCAGCAGCTGGCAAATAAAACTGCTCTGTGTGCATATATACATTCAAATATAACGAGTTAGAAAACCTAAGAAAAAAAATATTGTCCAGTTCAAGAGCATAGTTAAATCAGTCAACATCTTTTTAAAAAAAATCCCCTTCAGCTAGTTTGGGATGACTCCTATTCTTAGGCGACAACCCTCCAGACGCATCGGATCAGTTCATCACACCACGATAATTTACTGTGAAGTCAGCTGCTGCAAGTGCCGACAGAGAGAACACGACAGGACTCAGAACACTACGAATGATTCTGTGAGGAGCAACGTGCTTCACTGTGCAGGCCGGGACTTACTGTGTGAGGCCAGGAATGTTATCAGCTGCATTTCCATAAACTCGGCACGAGCTGTGAAGCCTTTTCAACCCTTTGTTTCCCCCACTGTGGTCCCTGTGAATGCAGCAGAGAGCAGAGGATTGCCATGGTGATTTGGATATTATCCACAATATTACAAACGCACAACACAATTTAGTATTTTGAAGCATTTTGAACTACACACACTTTATAGTATTTGAACTTCTGAACTTCTAAAATATGAGAAACTGTCTAATGGAGTAAAAACACCATCATACTTCATATATCTACTCCTGTCTCTGTGTGTTTTTAAAGCACAAAATCTTAAAAACAAACCACATATTACAATAAGGAGGCAATTTAAAACCTATCGAACTCACCAGTGCTTGTGTGTACACAGTATTGCCTCCAACATGACTCCCTCTTCCTCAAGGACCGCCTGAAAAACAATAATAGATAATAATAAGACTTTCAATCACCATATGAAACCAACACTTCACCAACACTCCATTCAAACACACACAGCGCTATAAATAATTATGAATTTCAACACAATATAGCGTTAATAGTTTCACTGGTGTTCCTATAATGGATGCTGCTAAGAATGCACTTGAAAAAAAAATGCCCTGCTGAAAATCAATAGCTTTACCAGCAGCAAAGGCATATCAGAACCAGACACACATTATTGATTTCTGATTGTACGCCACCACAAAAAAGATGAAAGTGCATTAAAGGTGATACAGAGAAACCCAGCTAATAAGAAAAAGGGACAACAGTGAAAGGGTTAGGGAGCCTGCAGGGATTATAGAAGTGGTTTGTGGTCAAGAATTACAATCACACACACATACCACCAATATAGATTTAGGTTTTTACCCCTAAATGTTCCCACTACTACTAAAACTAAGTGTGCACTTTTTGGCCATGTCTCATCATTACTGTATAAACATTAATGAAATTGATCTTTGTCTATATTTGATCTCTTTCAGACAAAGTTCAGGTCGAGCCCTGGACAGGACTTCTGTGGTGTGGCACAGCTACTAACTGACATAGAGATAAGGCTTATTTTTAACTTAAATGATGACATCTGGTGAACACGTTTCAGCTTTTCTGCAGCAGCGTGTTGAGCAGAAAACCAATTCTCTCCTGTAAAGTCTGACTGTTTTATTTTAACTTAAATCTGAAACCCACGTACGGTGTGTAAGTGAAACCTACACGTCACACAAACCAGAGGCACACACCTGAACCGTCTGAGGGTCTGCGGGGTCCACAACGACGGCTACGCTGGAGGCCGTGTCAATGACAAGGTAACTGTAGTTGTCTGAGAGCACCGAGATGGGAATTATTTTAATACCTGTGGGCAGAAAGAGAAATTATAGATGAAGTATTCAGTCAATACACTCAGAAAGGTAGAAGAAGGCATGCAGCTATAGATACGATGCAGATATAGTAGTATGGCTTTAAATGTTAGCAACGCATTAAAAATAATGACATTTACTTCCATATGATGTACAGCACATGACACCTGAGACTCTTGCCTACCATTGAACTCCATTGGATAAGAGGTGGAGTGTCCAGCTGGGTAATGTTCCCGGGCTTTCCTCATCTGCCTCTTGTAGTACATGTAGCCCAGTCTGGTCCTGGTGTAGAGTGTGTACCTGAGAAGAGATTCATAAAGCCTATAAATGCTGAGTCTTAGTAGAGTTGGTTAATCGATGTGAAGCCCACGTTTCCCACTAAACAGCCCAAACTACGAGAAAGCTTCACCTTCAAGCTACAATTAGCAATAAGTTGTTGTTTAGCATGTAAACACCTCCTATAATAAAGTTGTAGCCTGTTGTATATACGCCGAATACAACAGTAGCCATAATGGGTTTTAAAAAGACTGCAGACCAAAATGTCAGTGGTTGTACTTTTAATCGACAGGTGACACACTTTTAAATTTGAACAAATCTGAATTGAGTGTGGTGGGATGGGCCTCCCTAATGTGAAGCCGCTAGGTGTTGCTAAGCTACGCTAAAGAGACACGACGGGAAACAACAAAATATTGCGCCATCAAAGGGAAGCCGTGGCGTACATACGCGATTCGGAACAAGGGCTTCTCCGTGCGGGCCATGATCCTGCTGAACACTTTTCTCCACAACACTTGTCCGTACCGTCTGTAACGAACACATAAACATAAGAAACAGAAGAAGGATGCGGCGGCCACCAGCGTTACCATCCAGTCAGGAAGCGCCATGGCGGAGCGTAATGACGTAATCAGCGGTACGCCAATCCCGGAAGTGCAAAGTGTTTTTTTTTTTTTTTTTTTTTTTTTTTTTTTAATTTTTATTTTGTTGAATTTTTTTTTTTACAATTGGAGGATGCCGAGGTCAACAGTCGTACAAGAGGAACGAATAGTAAAATAAAATAGGAAGATGTAATAAATGAATATTACCACGAAAGTAGTACTGAGATAATCATTTCTGCGTTAAACATTAAACATTAGAATCACTTTTCACCCCTCTGTTACTCTATATTAGTACACTTTATTTAGGCAAGCGCTCTTAAACAGATGCATGACGTGGAAAAAAAACAACAACAACAACAACAATAACAAAAACGCAACATGGTAGAAATTTTAGATAATTGCCTTTTTATTTCTATAAATATAGTTTTTTATTTACTTACTCGGTTTAATTTTTCACTTTAAAACTCACGGTATTAATTAGTATTTTGTGATGGAAAAAATATTAAAAACTCACATGACCCAAATGATCATTTTTAAGACTTTAGCACAAACTTTAAAATGCCTTTTTTGTCTCATGTACGATTTAATTTTTTTGTCTGAATTAAGTCATTGAGTATTGCATCACTGTGGAATCGAGCCAAGGTTTGGTCGACTTTTAAATATTTTAACGATTATTAACCGGAGACGTTACAGGGGACGTTCACTTTGGGACACTCAGTTCAAACGGGACGGGAGCATCTGGGTCGATTTAAAGGCAAATAAATGTAATTTAAGGGAATTCGTGTCTAATCAAAGGCAAATTATAATATACGTTAAAAACAAATAATAATAATATTTTTTTTTTTAAACCTTGGAAGGAGTGTGAACTAGATGTGCACACAGCAGTTTGTGTTGTTTGAATTTTATTTTTATTCAACCTGAACAGGATCCTGAGCAAGCAGTCTGCACCAGAGACCGTCTTTATACTCAGTCTGCGGTGTTTCTGAGAAAGAGCAGGAACAGTGTGAGTTTCAGTGAACATATCCAGTTACAACATATCTTGTGCTGCAAGGCTGCAAGCCTCAGAGGAGAGAGAGGACCGAAGGGCACAGCGCTCCCATCTGAGGCTACAAGGCCACAAGGCAAGTACCCTTATTGCTTTTTTTATTTATGTTCATTCATTTATTAAGGTTAGAGTTGATTCATTTTTATTTGTGACATTTTTCTGGTGTGACTGGTGGGAGTCTATTTACAGGGTTACATGTACACAGATGTGATATTTCAGAGGAGATCATTTTGAACAGTGTTTTACAAATTGTTTTGTAGTTCACCATTTTAGCATAATAATGGGATTTTATTCTTAAATTGTGACAATGAAAACTAGACAGTAATATTGGATATAGATGCTATTTGTAGTTAACACATTGTCTTGCTAATAGGTGTCATAATACTATTCAATGTGCAGAATAAGTCTGATGTTTACCACGTATCCTCTCCTCAAGGTGGTTCAGCAAAATAATGACTTCCAAAAATGACAGTCCTCCACCCTACGAGGACACGGTGCACCATCCTAAGTCTGGTAACTACCCCTACCAGCCGCAGCATGGCTCCCATCTTCCCCCACCTCCTTACAGCCCCAGTCCTGGCATGTGCCTCGGCCCGCCCGGCTACCCACAGGCCAGCATGTACGAGGGCCGTGGCTTCTCTCCATCTGGGATGCCCACCACAATACCGACTCTGTCTGCTGGAGTGCCTGCATCCAACCCAGGTTCTGAAGAAATTACACAGATGACATTTTTCACACCTTGCATTATATTTAGATTAGCTCCCAGGTGTAATACGTATAAATTGCCACTTTGCTCTTCCCAATTCTGCAGGAGACATGGAGGATTTTATCAGCGCCCAGTGGGAGAGCACATCTATTCGACATTCTTTCATCAGAAAGGTAAGGATTCTTATTATACATCAAGCCATACACGTGGACTTGTTCTGTTGCATAGACTACCAGTTCATCTCCTCTACATCTACTGTCATGTTCCTCCTTTGTGGTTTTGTGTTTGTGGACAGGTTTACTTAATTTTAACAGCACAGCTTATCGTCACCTTTTCCGTCGTTGCTGTCTTTACATTCGTGTGAGTGTCCTTCCTCATTCCAGTACAATTATTCCAGCTCTCTGCTTTCAGTCCCTGCTCCTCAGTAATCCTGTATATTTGTGCTTCATAGTGACCCAGTGAGACTGTTTGTCATCAGATACCCTGGCATCTACTGGGCATCTCTGTGAGTTGCTTTCTAGGAACAGAACAAAAAAAAAAACACACATATTGACGGTGCAATTAAATCATATAATACAAAAACATATGATTAGAAAACATACCTGGAAATAATTACATTCCCACTGCTGTTTTAAATAATATGCACTAACATTTATAGTGATCTGTCTCTCCATAGTGTGGTTTATTTTGTGGTTTACTGCATTCTCATTTGCTGCAAAGAGCCGAGGTAAGCAACAAGTTGGCACGAAAAGTTGGGAAAAGTTTTACTAATACGATGTCTTATTGAAGCACTCACTTGTATTTGTGTAATTTTTAAAAATGTTCATCTTAATTTCTGTTTAGGAGGCGTTTCCCATGGAACCTTGTGCTGCTGGGAGTATTTGTAAGTATTGATTGTTAGATTATAGCAGCTCTGCTTATGTAGTGAGGAGTTAGAAAACATTTGAGTTGGTAAAGACTAGAAAAATATTAAAAGAAAAAACAAAACAAAACATAGCCAGTAAGACAGACACTTCCCTGAAGAAAAAAAACAGAAAGTTAGATGTCATTCTGATATTCGTGTTTCATCCTGCAGACTCTCGCCTTGTCTTACATGACTGGAACCATTTCAAGGTTTGTGGGTTTTTTTTGGCTCCAATTCTAACAATTCACCCAAATACATTTTACTAACCATGTGCTACACCATGATACACTGTATATGTGTGTATTTCTGTTTGTTTTTAATTGCTCTGTGTGTCTTTTACAGCTATTATGACACCAAAGCAGTGTTCCTTGCCATGGGAATAACAGCGTTAGTTTGTATAGCCGTGACAATCTTCTGCTTCCAAACCAAGGTAGATGGAGATGTAGAGTGTCTCGCTGTAGCTCAGTAGCCTGTGGCTTGTCAGAGGATGTCTTTGTTGTCAGTGTAAAAGAACTCCTTTGTCTCGCATTACAATGGGGCACTGAGTTCCTTTAAATATTTATAACATTTTGGGATAAGATGTGAATCCAACGTCTCTGTCTGATGCAACTCCAGATACATAAGTTACGTTTTGGTACACGACACATTTCGCCTTTTTTATATTTATTTATTTCTTTTTAACCTTATTCCGATCCTCCTTCAAATTATCCTCGCTGCTCTTTCATGTAGCTCGAAGCACATTAACTTCGCTTTCATCCCGTTAATGGTGTGTTTCTCATCACAGGTGGACTTCACCTCCTGCGGCGGGCTCCTCTGTATTGCCGCCGTTTTGCTCATGATCATTGGGATTGTTACGGCCGTCGTGCTCTCCTTCCAATATGTGAGGACTCTTCTGGTCAAATCCTTTAATTTATTCTCTCTCTACTCGTATTTCTCAGTGTGAGCAGCAGCAGCAGCCCAGAAGGGTGTATCTGTGTGACTGATTTCACATTCAGAGGCCTTTCTTATGTCACTCAACAGGTCCCTTGGCTGCATATGCTCTACGCTGCAATTGGAGCCATCGTTTACACTCTGGTGAGTCGACACTGACATGAATTCAAGGAGAGCATTCCAGTTTGGTATTACAGGGCTGTCCTTGAATAACAAGACGCATAATAGTCCCTACACCCTGAAATACACAGTTATTGTGTAGACCAACATAACATGCTGACGACTTGCTATCTCCAGAGTCTTGAATTCATCGTGTTTGTCTTGATGTTGGCTGCTTCGGTCAAATTAAGACCGGATTTCTCAGAAAGTTTCATGGCAGTTACTTTATTAAATCACACACAGGATCTATGGAAGTCACTCTGAACATCATCAGATTTCATGGACATTTCCTCGACCCACTTTGATAGTTCTCTAGCTACACTTCAGGCTCTGCAGGCTTCACTCCATCCACCACTTTGAGGCTGAGATACCTCAGAAACTGCTGGAGGTCATGAAATCTTACAGACATTCGTAGTAACTCAGTCAATGTGATGCCACAGCCTGGTTGATGTTTGTTGTTTTGACTGAAATGTTTTAACATTTTATGGATAATATTCTGTTATTCACACATTCATGCTCCCCTCAGGTCGGTTTGCAATAATGTTGGTCGTCTTTTCGCTTGCATCATCAGAACAATCGTTGATTTCTTTTTTGACCTGTCGCCATTCTTATCAGCTTCAGTTGTACTTTGTGTTTAGTGCTAATTATCAAATATTAACATGGCAACGCTCTCGGACGCTGAACATCGGTGGAAGCTGTAACCTTCAGGTCCCACAGGATTCATTGAGATGGTCACAAACTTTAGAATCAGTGTCAGACGTTATAAACATCTGTTCAGCTATGACGTTAGGATATCTTGCTTGATCAGTGCGCAAGAAGGACTCAACAGTTTTGCCTGCTGCTGTTCAAACCGTTGCTGCTTTGTGCTGCATTTACTGCAGCCCAGAAAAAAAAGCCCACTCCTCCTGTTTCTATGACGATCCTTCTCCTCTGTTCTTAGTTTCTAGTGTACAACACCCAGCTTCTTATTGGAAACCGGGAGCTGGCCATCAGCCCAGAGGAGTACATCTACGGAGCGCTCTCCCTCTACGTTGACATCGTTCACATCTTCCTCTTCATCCTTCAAGTCAGTGGAGCTGCAACCGACTGAGCCAGTGGTCAGATTTGGGCTCACAGGATGTCGTTTGTTGACAGACATAATGTAGTAAATATGTAAACAAGTGTGTAAATCAGGACGCATCATTACTATTTATCAAAGCTCTCAGCTATAGTGTATATAGATTTATTTTTATGTCGGTAACACTGGAGCACTTTGCGTGGTATGAACCAGGGCTGTAGGTGTGAATGAAGAGAGACACTCGTGTTCTGTATAGTTTAATATTTATGTGCATGTTAAACACTGTCTGAACTGTTACCCCTTGTTAAGAATAAACCACCACCTCTGCCCCCAAATGATGGAGACAAAGCAATTAATAGTATAAGAGCTTATTTCTTTGTTTTTTTATTCCTCTCAGTGTTTAATTCTTGTAATTTCTTACAAAACACCTGCTGGACAAAACAATCATTAGTCCGACGTCTGTGCTGGTAGTAGGATGGACTAACATCTGTAGAACATTAGAATTTTTTAACCTCTCCATAGAAAAAAAAGAAAAGAAACCTTAGACAAACAGTGACTCAATTAAAAGATGAATGACAGGTGTGCAGCCTCCCAGTAACCTGCTACAACTTTAATGTGTCTGTTACTGTTTGTTGTTAGAAAACTATGCACCTCCATCAATAAAGGCCTGTTACACCTGCGCTATTCATCCGTCCTCATGGTTAATTATAGTGGCACGTTAGGAGTCGTAGGGTGGCACTAGCTCCTATACTCTCTCTCCCCTTCTTGACTGTGGATTAGTTCTGATCCCCATCACCAGCATCTGTGTGTTAGTCCGGCCGTGGAGGGTTCAAGGCGTCAGGCGCTTGGGGTCGCGTGGGAACATGGAGGTCTGACGCACGTTGTGGAGGCCCAGGTACAGCATGCAGACTCTCTCCAGGCCTGTGGAGGAGGACAGATCGCTCACTGAACACTTTAAATGAAACCTCAAGCCGTATTAATCCTGACGATTGCTACAGGTTCCCCAAACAACACGCTATAGTCCTCACCAATGCCTCCGCCGCCATGTGGTGGAGCTCCGAAGCGGAAGGAGTCGATGTACGACTTGATCTTCTCCAGATCTACAGTAAAAGAGAGGTGCAGTTAAAATTAAAACTTGACAGAAAACTCTACTTGCTTTCACTGACATTCACAACTGTTAATCCAGCACATTCCTTTGTATGTGAAGTGCCACCGTTGGCCAACAGAGGGAGACAAATCATTCACAATTACAGTGACGTCCCTCTAACAGAACCATCTCTTTAGCAGAACCACTTGCTCTTACCGATCTGGTGATGGGTGGCCCTGTCAGTCAGCAGCTGAGCGTCGTGGATCCTTTGAGCTCCAGACAGGATCTCCTCTCCCCTCATGAACATGTCGTAGGAGTTGGAGTATTTCTAGAGTTTAAAAAAAAAAAAAAGACAAGAATAACAATCAGGGTCTCCTCACATCTGGTCATCAAAAGGAGGGAAAAAAAAAAGACATGGAAAGTTAAAAGAAGGACGACAAGCAGACGAGATGGTGTCTGGAAGGACTCGGCTTCACTCAAGAAAGACGATTTGTGATAACCGGCAGAAAAGGGCAGCTGATGTAGGACTGATGTTAGCAGCCAAATGTCATCCTCGCCACTGGTTCTGACATGCAGATTCGACAAAGATAATCGGAACACAATTTAAAAACTTGTGAGCAGTTCAGCAGCACTTCTGTGACACTGCTTCTATCAGGACATCATAAAACGGTCCTAATGTTTAAATTCTGCTCGACTCCACGACATTTTAAGGCCTCAACCACAAACCATCTGAAACGGTTAATGCTAAATTTATTACTGGATATTTGTGTGTGTGTGTGTGTGTGTGTGTGTGTGTGTGTGTGAATAAGCGACAGACTTACGGGGTCGTTGGGATCAGGCATCGTGTAAAACGGCCTCACAGCCAGCGGGTACTTATCCAGCACGTAGAAATCGGTGTCGTACTGAAAAAGGAAAAACAGGAGCTCGACATAAACAGTAAATCGCGGCACACATGAAGACTCAGGTGTTTCCTCTGTTCCTGTTTATGTAACATCACTGTGGGCTTGAATAATAAACGACAGGAGTTTTGGGTTCTGTTGCTGTGTTCTGCAGCTCGGGGAGACGTGAGTCGATGATGTTTGTGTTGCTTATGAAAAGTCTAAAAAAAAGCGCCTTAACTAAGAGCTGTATTATGTCCAGAGATGATGAAGGGTATATTCTGCTGCTGATAAGTGGAGAATTCCCCGTGGCTCAGAGGATTCGATCACCGTAAGTTTTCAGACAGCTGATATGCATAAGTGCTGATGGTCTAGTATGCAAAAAAAATCAATTAATAATGCGGGTTTCTCTATATGCTGACACTATTTTCTACCTCCAGTGTTTGATCGAGCAGCGTTCATATTTCTGAAGTTTGATGTTCAGTGAGTGAAGCACATGTGGACGTACCTTTTCCTTGACAAGGCGGCCGAGCAGCTTCTCATTGGGCGTGCTGCACAACAACAACAGACAATCACGTTAATACTGATGACTGGATCTCACACCTTTAACGCTGCTCCAGCTGGATATTATAGTTGTTTAATTCTCGACTACTTTGACTAATGATCCATGTGTGTTCCAGCTGTACTGTAAACAGTTAAACAGAGAAGCTTTCATCACATGAATTAGCTCAAAGCTCAGCTACTGATCTGACGTTTCACTTCCCTTCATGCTAACTCGTGTGAAAATGCACTTCTGTTTCTATCGAATGAAATCATCTGACATGATGAGTGGGATGTAGGCCACAGGGCGTCCAGAGTGCTCTGACCTGAGGTCGTCCTCGTCACCCATCTCCACGCCGGCCTCGCGCAGCATGGCCACGCCCTCGGTGTACTCCAGCCTCAGAGTGGGCTCCAGGAATTTGAAGGGCTCGCTCGGAAACTGCTTGTTCACCGTCTGGATCTCTGTCTGGAAGCTGCAGCACATAATCGAGTTTCAGTTATTTGGAGGAGACGTTACATCGACTTCAATTAATTTCTTGCAGACTTATTACCATAACGATTCATTTTCTAACCCTGACCCTAAACCGAAACATGATTTTAATTCTCTGAAACGGAGTCCATCCATCATCTCTACACCTTAATCCTCACCAGGGTCATGGGGGGCGGAGCCTATCCCAGCTGACTCAGGGTGAAGGCAGGTTCACCTGGACAGGTAACCAGTCTATCACAGGACTACACTTAGAGACAGACAACCAAGCACACTCACATTCACACCTACGGACAATTTAGAATCACCAATTAACCTCAGCATGTTTCTGGACTGTGGGAGGAAGCCGGAGAACCCGGAGAGAACCCACGCTGCACGGGGAGAACATGGAGACTCCACGCAGGAAGATCCCGGGTGTCCTCACTGGGATGTGAACCGGCGACCTTCTAGCTGTGAGGCGACGGTGCTAACCACTGAGACACCTTGCAGCTCTAAAACGTTATTAAAGTTATTCATGTACGTTCTTGGGGACTTGTTCTTTATGACAACTTAAATAATACAGGTGCTCTAGAACACAGGTACACATGTTATAACCTGTCGTCTACACCCCGACTCACATTTACAAACATGACCGCTCATTTACAAATGACAACGTCCACATTTCATATTCAAGTCCTGAAAGTTTTGCAAAGTTTTTTTGTCTCTAAACTCATTCATTGATCTTTAACTAACTGTGTTCTTTGCAGTTAAATGTTTTTATTTAAAAAAGGGGACAATTCTAACTAAATCACAATAACAAACTCTATCATAAAAGACACAGAAGTTGCACCATTCGAAATCTTTGTTCGAACGATCAGCATTTTAAAATGTTGTCAAAGCAACACGGGACGACAAACGGAGCTCAAAGACGCTGCCGGAACATCAGTCAACAAACACTTGCAAAATAATTTAATACGTCAAAGGGAACAGTCTGGAAAGTCATGAGAATGAAAGTTAAACAGTCGAACCTCCATGAGAAAGAGGAACAGCAGTCACAAGCTGAAACTAGACGGTTACGGCATCACATCAGCTAGTTCGCTTGTAACCTAAGACGACCTCCAGAAGTGGTTCAAGAAGACATTCAGTGTATTTGATGTTTATTTAGGAAGTGATAGTTGTCAGTGGTGCTCGTCTCTTCTGCCTCTCCTGACTCTAAAAACCACCTCCAGGCTCAGACATATGAGGCCTAATATGAAAAGCAGCAGGTTAAGGAGAGAGCGCTACCCAACATTAACACCGGGTCATCGCCTGTTGAAGCTCTGTATGCCTGCAGCTCTGATCTACACCACCAGGAGGCAGTAAAGCCACATCACAACCTGTTCCTGCTGACAGTTCATTAGACAGAGTGCAGGGAGGGCACTGAACTCCATCAGGGCAGGCGGCACAAGGTGACAACACTTCATCTGGATCCAGCTATTTAAATGCTGTTACTCAGACAGTTTGCCATCCACAACATATCAACGCCAGCAACGGATCCTGTCAACATTCAGCTCTCATCTGAATAGGAAGGAGCAACCCGAGCCTCCGTGGCATGTAATTTCCATCACTTTTCATTCATCGCCTAAACGCAGAAAGTTCTGAGAGCAACAAATAGCCTGCAAACTTATAGTCTGAACAGAAAAGCCCAGCGTGAATCCTGACGGTGTCTCACTTGTCTCTCAGGCCCTTGAAGATCTGCACCATGGTGTCGGTGATGGAGTCGATCACCTCGTGGTAGTGGTAGTTGAAGGCCATCTCAATATCCAGACCCACGAACTCAGTCAGGTGACGGTGGGTGTTGGAGTCCTCTGCCCTGAAAACTGACATAATAACAAAGACAACAGAGGAAGAAGGAAAGTTTTGACACATCTGATGGAGAAACGGCCTTTCATGCTGCGTCACTGTGTTTTTGAAATCCTGGATGTGCAGCTGATCAGATCACAAGTCGTTCTAAAGGTTGATCCAGTTCACGGTCTGGCCTCGGAGTTACCCCGTCAGGTTTTAAGAAGCAAGGACAATGAGTTAAAATGCAAATTAGTGCGTCACTGAAGAGTATTTTTCTCCAAAAGGAAAGATAATGCAAATCGAATGCTAATGTCATCGCCGAGAGTAACTGGAGCTACTTTGGTTTTATTGTACTTTTCTCTGTAGCCTTAACTGTGAAGCTTTTAGTGCACTTTGTGTGGATGCTGTAACCCGAATCCTCTCTGATGAACAGTCTGAACTTTGATCACGATTAGGACATGACTGTGCAGACATACATGAGGAGGCTGTGTGGTTACTGCTGCCTCCATGTTGTGTGACTGATCTTTTCTCTTTGTTCTGGTCCAAAGACGGCTGCAGGAGTCTTCGGTTGATTAAGTGTGTTTCTGCATCTGCATGCGGCTGAATCGTATGGAAATCAGACATGTGCACAAGCACACAATTTCACAATGATTGAAATTTATAAAACGCAACCATGCATATAAATAACTTTATCCAAGTGCGTGTGAATCTGCATAGTTCTGCTTTTTGTATGCA